CTGGCGTGACCTGTCGGCCTCTAAATTATCCGATATTTGGTTCTCTATGATCTCTGTAAAGCGTTGCATCTACCGGAGATCCGGGATTCTCCCCTTCTCTCACACTGCGAAGGGCCGTGGTCACCTTTTCAAATGTGACATCTCTCACATCGAAGTTTTAGTTGAGCTTGCTGGGGTATTCGATGGTAATTATTTGACGCCATTTCCATTAACCACTGGGTTAGTACATTGTGTGTCGGTGTGGAACTGCATTTGTGATCTATCCGAAAACTCCATCCATCCATCCACGCGCTGTTTGAAGATACACATTTATAAAGTAATCACCGAACTACTTCAGATTCACCTTCTCTCAAATGACCGTATTGGTGATGGCGAAACAAGCGTGAAATGACGACAGCGAATACAAAACCCCCACCCGAAATTCGAAGAATGACATTGTTTATATAAATGTTCATCCCCTTTAGTGTCACGCACATTCAAATTGCTTCCTGCGTCGTGCTGTTTGGGAGCCACGCTCTTTGACCCCCCCCCCCCCCACACTGACACGAGAACGAGAGGCATCTTCGGCCTCCTGGACGGACAACAGCGTGACCATCGGACCCGGTGGGTGGGGGTGGCTGAAAAACACCGCTACTTTTAAAGCCCTCCTACCACCGCCGCCACCGCCACCGCCGTACATTTGAAGGGGCACATAATTGGGTCCATTACGACGAAAATTAAGGCGCGCATTATCGAAATGTCAAGTTTGACGGAGGTCATTAATGCGCAGCTGTCAGTGAGTCACAGGTGAGCCTCGAGACTGGGCCTCAGAGCCGCTTGTTTTGCGGTTCTCCTGCCGGCCTCTCGGAAATTTTCCATTGCGCGTACGCGACGTTTGATGATGATGCAGACAACGCCGCCTTGGACGTGGAGTCGGTCAGATTTCTGGGGAAATGTTGGCAGCAGTACGAAGGAGAACTCAAGTCTGTAGGTGACAATGGAGAAAATCCACCACGGCGGGAAACAATGCAGGCTGGGAGTCAAACTGATAGAACGACACATAACCAGCTCAAAAGATCCAAATACGTGGGCAATTTCTCATTGCGAGGCACCAAGTCAGAGTTGAAAAGACGTACACAGGACAGTGGCCAGTGCTCACTGCTGCTCTACGCCTTGCGCTCAATTATTTTGAGACACGTGCTCAAAGTCACTCACCTCCTTGGACTTCTCCTCTGGGCGATTGTTGAAAGCGCGTCCTTTTGTTTCGAACGCAGCAATTTTGCATCGTGCGAAATTTTCCGTCCTCTTTTTCCCGTGACGCCATTTGTTAAGTGATTATGGCGGATTACAAAGAACAAAGTAAATGAAGGTGAAGCCTTGCAATTATTTTGCTCAGGCCACTGCTGAGCCACTTTGCCCAGTGAATCGCTACCCCAGCAATCCGTACTACTGCCATGGCCAGGGAGCGATTCTCTTAATGCGCCAGGAATAACTACTCCGTGGGACGTGGGACAACCCAACGGGGAGAATGGCAGGCTCGGAACATCAGTGGGCTTGCCTTTGAAAACCAGGTTGGATGTAAGGCAGCCAGCCGTCAGTATGGCTCCAGTTCGGCCAGTCTCCAACCACCAAGACAGCACGGTGCGCCATAAGCGTGACCTCCACTGCGTGCCTGAGCGGCGATCTATAACTTAATGTACAGCCCTTGTCAAATACAGCGCTGGGTGAAGGCGTTCAACACCATGCCTCGTTGACCGCAGATGTTGGTTAACCACCAGGGCGGTCAGTGCGGGGCGGGGAAGAAGCCCCAGGACCAGTTCAGGTTTCTCTCGCCGCCGATGTGAGCCTTGGTTGGGAATTCAACCCAAGCAAGCCAGGTTCATAGTGCAGTGCACCATGGCTGCAATTGCCTCGACCAAGTTAATTGGAATTGAATAACGAACGGGAACGAAAAAAACACGGCGATACATTTATCCCAGAACTTCATTGCTCAAACTGTGGTGGTCACGATCGCCCTTACAGGACAGGGCATCTGGGGAGGGCCGTGACCGTCAGGGGGTGGACGCAACCGCCTCGTCGAGTGAGTTCTGCGATGACACCCAACATGCAATTCTCGAGTTGGACGCAGATTTTTCCACTTCTCTGCGCCCCCCCCCCCTCCACAAAAAAAGAACTCCACGAGAAGACGCTCAAGAGCACCGCCACATTCTTGGCCTCTAAAGTAATTTTTTTTAAAGAGCCCTCGCCACATCTAACTTAGGGCGCCAAACGTGTTTGAGTTACTCTCTCGTGGTTTGCATGGAAGCCCGAGATTACATCTGGAGGAGGTGCTGATAATCTCCTCACCTTTGTGGACAATTATAATTGAGGGCAGAAGCCATCCAAGGTTGTAGCCCACGTGCTCTTCTGGACAGAGCCAGGGATATAAGCAACACCGTTTCTTAGCATCATATTCATATCTAAACTTTGAGGTTTGTTTGTCCGAATGTTGATTTATATTTAATTCACATTGATTCACGTGAATGCGTTACGTCTGACAAACTTCAAACGCACGAAACACCGTACACCGTTAAATAATGGCAAGGTAAAGCTGTCGTCATGACCATTGCCGCCGATGCCCTCCACACTTCAACCGACTTCCTTTTGGTTGCCGACCCGTGTAACGACTCCGACGACAAGTTATAAGAGCCACTTTCATTACAGATTTCCACAATACGGAAGCCTACTCTTGAGCGTCCTTACTCCTCGTGCTCTCCCCTTATATATATTCCTCAGCCCCCTTTCTCGAACCTTCTCCTTGTTTTACCTCCAGCCAATCCCTGTCCTTTCCCTTGAACGGATCCTTTTTCTCTCTTCTTGGTTCTTTCGGTAAAGTCACGTAGAAGGGAAGCAATAAAATATTATTTTATTATATTATTTTATTATATTATTTTATTATATTATTTTATTATGTTTTAGTTTTATTATTTTATTGCTTCCCTTCTACGTGACTTTACCGAAAGAACCAAGAAGATGGATCCCTGCAGTCACGAAAGCTTTAAATCGAAATCGGATCCTTTTTGTTATTCTCCAATCCCTTTAAAGTCTGCTTCCCGACCAATCACCGTGGAGGCCTCTTTCTTCCAATAGGAGACCGTTGTTTGTGTTTAAATAGCCGTTAGGCTGCACATGGCTTGGGGTAATGTTTTGGTCATTACACTTATACACGCGCTCCGCTCATTACCATATATCCCGCTGGCAATTCCATCCACGATGTTTTAGTGTCGCGTTTTATTCCAAAGGTACACCACGATTACCCCCGTGCCTCCATCAACACAGAGATAACCATTCAATATCAACATTTTCCAAAAAGGCATTCATATAATGTTCAATAAGAAGACACTATTCAGTAATATGTAATAATAATGTTCAGTAATAATACTGTGTTAATAACATAAAGCCAATTTACTGCTACATATATTAAAAAGATGTCACTCGGTAAATGAAAGATTTTATTACATTGCAAGACATATGCTGAATTTCAGCTCATACAGTTGTTATTCATTTGGTATTCAATTACAGAACCATTAAGAAAAATGCAATTCATAATCATTCGAAGTCAGGTCAAATGTGGGCGAAAATTAGTTCTGTAGCGAGAGGCATTCAACGTATGAACGGGAGTTGCGTTTCACATTTTATCTGTGACATTTTCATTTACAATGCGAACTCGAAATTTCACCAACTTTTTAATAAATGGGCCACCTTTTTTGCAAGATGTTGACCTATATTATCGTCACTATTTACAATCTGATTTATTCTATTTCAATAAATTCTATTTTAACTGTTCATATTAAAAGCCAGAATGTATTAAAAACAATGCCAACCATTTACGTGGCAAAAAGGTTGCGATTATTCGGACATTTTGAGAGTTATAAAAGGTATGTGTCAGCAGATGCTTAACGCATATTGTTGTGCAAATTATACTTTTAAAATACAATGAGGTTGTCAGGAGTTTAAGAAGTCTGATTAATAACCCAGCACGACTGACATTGTGTGTTTGATTCTGGACATCCATTCGTGATTACACGGATGCCTGCAAGTTGATGTCTCTGCCTAGGCACTGATTACTGCGATTTGTTTTGCACTTCATTTGACTCAGTTCCACCTCTATAAATTAAACATGTTTGTGTGACCTCCATGCAACCGTCCGACGACAATCTCGTAGAAGGGTGCAGGGGATAGTGCGCCCCCTACTGTGTAAATTAAGATATGGTCACCTGAAGGATTTTCTTTTGAGAAAAAAACCCATCTCTCTTGTGCAGCAATTCTCTGCCACACAGGGCACAATGCCGAGATTTCCGAATGTATTTCTCGTCGCACGACATGATGCCATGAGCACAGAATGGGGGGGGAAAAAGACAAAAGGAAACAACAGGATGCTGACCATCGTTCGCCGTATTCTATATCCTAACTCAAGATTTTATATCATGTTTTATGAAGGCCTGCCCCGAGTCATCGGCACTTCCCAAAGTTCCACAATGCCACAACTCCATCGCGCCTCTGCGCACGAGTTCATCTCCCATCTCTGTGGCAGTTTGTCTTCTCCGGTGGCCTCACTTCCCTGGCGTCCACTCTTCATTCTTCTGGGAAACTGGCCATCCCTCCTTTCCAGCAGTGTGCACTGCTCCAGCCCACTTCACCCTTCAGTGAACACGATGCCTCCGATTTTTAAATCCTTTATATTAAGTTCACTTGCTTGCTTGCGCGCTTACGACCGTGCAAATCTTTCGGTCGTTTTTTAACCCACTTCCCGTGATCCAATCGAGCTGACATTTTGCACACATACTCGTTGTGCGTGACAATTTATTTTCGTGAAATTTTTTTTCCAAAATTTTACACTTTTTAGGAAAAACTAAATTATATTTAATTACCAATTGCTTAATGGTGGCAGGCAATCATCTGACCCATATGTGGCAGCCATCTCAAGCCAGAGGACGAGAGGACTCTAGCCGCCACGCATATAAAGGATTTATAGTGAAAAACTTTGTTTTTACGGGTTAATTTTTTGTTTGTGTACTTCTCAGCTTCTGACCCAAATGTTGTCAGGTGTCCATATTTTGAAATCCACGTCATTGCGCGTAATTTGCCCTGATTGAAAATGTTCCTCTTAGGCACATTTGTTGTTTTTAAAATAAATCTAATTTAATGAAACAAAAGCACTCCATCCTGTTCCCGCTGTCAGTTTGATTTATGTTGATCCTGGTTCACCTTCAGTAATTGCCCTAGATTCACATCATGCGGTTTCCAGCATCCTTCCAACAAGTGTTTTCTTTTGTTCATCAATGGATAGATCATGGGCTGATGATAAAACCAGAGGTTTGGATTTTTGGATCACGTAGAGATCACCTCCCCACTTGCTGCACTCCGATGGCCAGGAGAGGGCAGGAGAGGAAATGGATTGCCGGCTTGTTTGGACAGATTTTTGAACGTGACTTCATGCTTCGTCTGGGAGACTCTGGTTAATCCGGGGTCGCCGTGCTCGTAACGCAGTGCGCTAACCAAGACGGCGGCGGCGCAGCCTCCTCCTTAGTTGTGTGCGAGCCAAACTCCGGTTGTTGCACGCTCGCCCATTGACAGCACAGGTGGGGCCTGAAAGTTTAAATAAATTCGACCTCAAGGGAGCTCGTGGAGGCTAACACGAACTAGGCAGCAACACCAAAGGGAAGCTGCTGTGGATTTACATCCAAGGCAATTTAAGTGGTTGGTGGCAATGTCGTGGACATTCTGAAACAGGAAACATACTGCATGAACTTATCATATGGGCCTGTGTTGAGTGCCAAAACTCACAACATACCAAGATATGTTTCATATTTCCACGGTAATTGTGAAATGACAAATGTGTGTACCATAGTGATACGTGTCTATACATATATATTTTTTATTAACGGTCCATTTCAGCCCAGGCTTACAAACAATACATATACATTTCACACACACACACGAAATAAGCATCAGAAGGCACAAGGCGGCATACACCATCTCACAGTTTTTGTTTTTACTTATTTTCTAAAATATAGTATAACATAATCAACCCAACAACGTAAGCTAAATAGCAAAAGTATAATTTCAGTGGTTTATACTAAGCGGTAGATGTTACTGGCACAAAGCGATTACAAAAAATAAATGTGAACCCAAGTACTGATCCATCACTACCAACAAGGAGGTTTAAACGCTGTAGGTATTTAGCATAGTGCTCGAAATAATAACCAACCCACACAGCTCTGCGGACACGACCATTCATCATGATTCAAGTGTGCGTTATTTGCCGTGAAGTGCGCCACTTTCTGCAGCCATCAAGCTCAGCTCAGAAGTTGATAATCCAGGGCTGTGATTAAAAATGCACCTTTCTTGGAATCACGACATGCCATCCATTATGTGAGCCATGGAGACAGCGCTTATCGTGTTTTTTGGAATTCAAAGTGAAACTGTCTAGTTGACACCCATCTCCATATCTGGGCGAGTGGTGGACATTCCATATTCTTGTGGTGGTGGCCAGACCGTTCGGCACTGTTGACTTCCTACAAAGCGGTACCAATTGTATCGGCCCTGGAAGGATAGGCTGAGTTCATTATGACTTAGCTTCGAACTTGTAACTTTGTGACCGGGCGTAAAGAGTTTTAACCACAGCACCATCGGACTGGACATGAACATGCACACTGCTTCCCAGAAACCAATCCTCCATTCAACCAGATGAGAACCCACAGTGAGAGGCCATCTAATTCGGGGTAACGAACAGCGGAAAAACACAAGACGCGATGCAGGACAGGCACATAGCTCATGATCACGGAACATAAAACACACGCACGGGCACCCGACATTCAAATATAAAGTTAATCTGTTGAGTCTTGTAAACCGTAGGGGTGAGTGATGTTCGTGAGCACTCACACACGCAGCAAAGCCAACGGCACTCCCGATTGCATCACCAGGTACCAATGGCCGAGTTGACCTAGAGGTCACGTTTTTGCAACTGAACGATGTGCACGGCTAGGGATAAAACCCACGTCTCCACAACTGTAGTGCAATGCTTTAAATACCAGTGTCGTTATTCTCCACACACAAAACATACACACAGAAATAACAAAAAAAAAACACAAGCAAAAACACACAAAGTGCAAGTTCACAAAAATACCCAGAACCTCTCGGTGGCTGCCGTTCCACCGTATCCTTGCTCCACTACTACCACTCACTCAATGGCATTAGATGTCCAACACTAGCCACATTCAATGGCATCACAAGCTAGCACTCTAACCGATAAGATACGGTTACCAACTACCACCTCTTTTCCACTGGCACATCTGAGCCGAGCCAGCGTGGGACACTAACAGTAGGGTGCTTCCCCACTGGCTATTTGCTTTGCCAAGCCTGAAACCAAACCTAGATAAGCTGGCCTTACAAAGACATCTGAATATGTCTCGGGGCCAAGCAGGGCCGAGAGACGGGGATAGGAACGTGTGTTCATTGCGCGTGGCATCAGTGGGCACACACACACACACAATTCAAACGCAGCGTCACCGCTTTCGCAGCTACGTGCGTTTTGACTCGAACACAGGAGCTCGGCTCAGCTTCTGCCGTGGCCAAAAACCACCCGGCTGGCTCGGCATGGCCCTAGCCCAGCTCGGTTGTGTGGTGGAAAACAGACGTATGTGGCAGATGCACATCCTGAAGGGAGTTGGTTATATTATGTAAGCAGGCCCAATCTCCCGTACGCAGTATCACTCTTTATACTTCCATGAGAAAAGTCGGTGCAGAGTTGACGAGGTGAATGTTGAAAAAACAAGCGAGAGGGGGCTGCCGAGATAGTTCTGAAATATTAGCAGCGATTGAACAATCCGTGGCTTGGCACAGATGCATCGACTAACCTCGTGGTCCCGTGTTATGTGTCTCCTTTCTCAAGCCACTTACTCTTGCACAGGCCCAATCACTCCACGAGCAAAATCTTTCACTGTGGAAACACGTGGAAGTCACTGGGACCTCGGTTTGGTGGGCGTGGCTTTTTGCGAGGTCTCTCTGGACATTTAAGCTTTTTCGCTTAAGGTACAAACACATTCATTCACCAGTAGCGATCACCGAGTTACCCTCTCGCGATGAAATCTGGATTTCAGAAAATATGTAAGGGTGCACGCGGAAGGTAAAGGCGCAGCCCTGCAATAGCTCACTCACACCACTGCTGGCGAAAGGGCCTCCACTCGAGGGAGCTCTAGAGAGCCCCTCTCGAGAGTACTGGCCAGACGTCTTTGAAGATGGAGTAATCACACTCTACCCCACCATACGTGGCCTGTCCATCGACTAATACTCGTCTTCTTCGTAGTGTTCCCTGTACAACCTATCGTCTTTTCCAAATATTCTGCACTGTCGTATTTATACTGCAGGGTGGACAGAAGCGTGGGGGGGGGGGGCGTTTTAAGACATTTGCCTCATTGTTTTATAGAACTGCCAACCTCTGGATTGCAAGTCCAGCGTGCCGACCATTTCACTATTGCAGCAGCCCCTTAAATAGGTTTCACTTGTGTTTTTATTCATCTCGGGAAAGTCTCACCGAGTTTCAGGAGGGTGCTGCAAAGTGTTTTGCAGTAGGGAGTAATGATCGTTACGTATAACCCTATTTGAGTTTTTTTAATTGTCAAATCTGAAGCGTGACACCAGCTCACAATAACCTCCTCTTGTGAATGACATCATGGGATCTTTAATGTCCACTGTGCAGCAGACAGCGCATAGTATTGTCATGGTTAATAAACCACCGCAGTGATAACCAGGGTGGGCTGCTGGATGCGAACCGTGAACTTCTGCAACGAGCAGGGAAAGCAGAAAGATAGCACCTGCTTCTCATATGTTAGGGCCACAGATTTGATCACCCTATGTAAGTGAAAAAACTCCTTCACCCGCATCAACGCTTTCGGATGCGCTTCTGCGGCCGTCTGGAATACTCTTCCTTCCGATATCAGGAAGCCACTGCAGCCATGCACTTTTAAATCATGTAGATTGATAATTCATTTCTTTAGAACTGCTTTTTGTGTTTAGTTTGTTGTCCTTCCCCCGCACCTCCAATTAGCACGACTTGCTACGTACGGTGCCAAAGAAGGTTAGTCACATTTATATTTACGCGATCAAACCCAAAAACCTCCATTATGGTGCCAAAGAAGTTCAACATACATACATGGGGTGGGGTGGGGGGGGCGGTGGGGGGGGGCGGGTGGAGGGTGGCTTAGTGACAAGGGAGGGGGTAGTCGGTGAGGCAAGGGTGAGGGGGTGAGTGGGGACGGAGGGGCGGCGGTGGCGAGCTCTCAGTCGTTGGCGACGATGGAGAGCGAGCGCAGCTCGGCGAGCCGCGCCTCGTTCTCCTGCTCACGCTGCTCGTCCGTGCGCTCCGCGACGTCAATCTTCTCCGACAGGTCGCGGAAGATCTTGGAAACCTCCGCATAGTAGTTCACCTGCGCGGGGACGACAAGCGCGCACACGCGCCGGGGATGAGGAGCGCGGCGGAGGGCTTAAAGACACCCAAAGAAACAATTATCTCTCATGCTTACGCTCGATTCGTACCACCCATCGTTTAGGAACGTTGGTGGCAGGGTTCGTGCAGTGCTTGATACAGAAAGGGCCTGGTTTAAATTCGTGACAAGGCCTCTATTCTGTGGGGAGTTTGTGTGTTCTCCCCCTGTTCTGCATGGGGTTTCTCCGGGTTCTCTGGTTTGCTCCCATCCAACGAATAAACGAGATGTCTACCAACCGAGACCTCAACAATGTTCCTCGCCACTGACTCCAGCCCCTTCTGGGATTGTGCCGCTGTCACCGTCCTAGCATCTCATCCAGTGGAACAACGTAGACGTCCAGAATAAACACCTCACTCAAGACCCAAACATCGCACCTCCTGGCTTTAGCATTCCTCCTCCTCCTCGAAGACACCAATGGAACCATCAACCGCATCAGAACATCAATAGGCCGATATGCACATCTCCATAATTCGGAAATTAAAGGCAGGCCACAGTAGTACGATTGTGGCCATGCAAAACAAACCATGGACCAAATCGTAAACCACTGTAGTCTGCGCGCATTCAATGAAGAAATAGCAAAACTACACAAACTCTCTCCTAAAGCCTTCTCGTGGCTTGCAGACCTTGACATTGGCAATATTTTATAATTGTTTCTATCTATGTAACTTTACCGAAAGAACCAAAGAATACACTGGTCAACACACTTTTTCTGGCATAAGGTATTCCAACGGTTTTAAGGTAATTTTGGGGTGCTGATTCCAAATCTGGCATCAGTTTTTGTCTATCACATCAGGTTTTTGAGATATCAAATATTGCATTTTGAATAAAAACTGCAGAAGAAAAATATTAAGTAAATGTGGATATCTACATAAAATTATATTATAAACACACTATCCTAAAAATACAGCACCATATTTTAACACTAAAGCAGTCACTGACTCGCAACAACTTGCAATCATAAGTGACAGTTAATTTCGGGTAAAATCAATGAAAATGGGGTATGCCGATTGCATAAAAATGAGATGTGATAGAGCAAATCTGAGATCAGATTTGGAATCAGCACCCTGAAATTAGTCTAAAACAGCTGCAAAAGTCCAGGCCAGAAAAAAATGTTTTTTGTTTGTTGACCAGTGATATGAATTCCTGCAGTCACGAAAGTTAAGTCAAAATTTAACCGCCTCTACGGGGAGGGTTTTCACATAACCACAACAAACTCCGAGACACGAAAGCACTCACAATTTCTGAAGAGATGCCGCGACTCTAAGGTAATACCCGACCTCATTCACACTGACCTCTGCTGCTGTCACATCTTCCAATGGCAAATAATTTTGTTCAGGGCTGGCTTGGCCCTGATCTCAGAGAGAATTAGACTGCTCCATACTGAACAAGATAATGTGAACAAGACACTCTTGAAATCACACTTAACATTGACAGAAAAAATGTCTACATCTGATTGGGAACATGTAGATAACATGACTACTTCATCAGCCGCTACAATGTCAACTAAATGTACAGATAACCTGATTTCCAAGTTCAACCTCCTTTCCACGAAGAAACCAGATCCACGCATTAAAAAGTTATACGTTGACAAGGTTGTTATTAATCTGAGTAATAGTCCAATTTCCAATGGTCAAAAATCGGTTTTGGCTAAAGGGTTGAACTTCGCAGTCACCTTTCTTGGATGTCCTCATCAAAAAGAGACCAGATGGCTCAATGAGCCATTCTGTCTACAGGAAAGCAACCCATACTGATGCCTACCGAAAACCTGATTCCCACCACCATCTTCCCAGAAAAATTACCTCATCAAAACTCTACACCATAGAGCGCAATGTATCTCTGACCATGAACACCTAACCAGTGAACTCAAACACGTACACCAAGCTCTCAAGGCGAATGGATATTCTGGCTACACAATCCGCAAAGCCATCACCCCAACCGTGAGGAAGGAGCCATCTGAGGATCCAATCAAAACCATCACCTTGCCATACATAGCAGGGGTAACCAAAAATATTTACAAAATCATGAACAAACACAAGATCCAGGTCCAATTTAACACAGTACATAAAATTTGTGATCTGATCCCATCTGTGAAGGACAAGATCCCTGACATGCAATATCCCGGCGTCTACAAACTAAGCTGTGTCTGCGGCAGTAGTTACATTGGGGAAACTAAGCGACATGTCTCGGACCGTGTTCGTGAACACAAGGCAGATCTGAAACACGGTAGGACCAATACTGACATTAACATTAGCTGCCCCGCCCATGCTGCTGACACTTGGGCTATGCCCATTTTAAACCTTTATGAACAGTTTGCCTTTAGAGGCTAACCCATTTTTCCTGATGACGACCGCTTGTGTTGTGATCGAAACGTCGTGATTTTATTTTTATATTTTTTCTATCTATGTGACTTTACCGAAAGAACCAAAGAATATTGGAAATATAGCTCCTGAACTCATTGTTGCCATCATGCGCAAGGATTGAATTATACAAGTGCGTAATAAAGTCACAGCGTCAGTGTGGTTTTATACTCCTAACCACAATGGCACCCGGTGTGTTGTTGCACGAGTACAAGCATAGATGTGTTTCAAAGCCTCTCCTCGCACAAACTAACACCGGCACTCATCTTCATTTGCAGCCTAGAGCCAGCGCTGGCAATTTCACACTCCCACTGTGAGGAGGACCAGTCAAAACATGAAACGGGGTAGAGTTTGAAAATGATATGTAAATATTGAGTTCCACGTGAGTGAAAAACCACGGACATCGCGCGGGAACAACATGCGACGTAGCCGCATAATTCTGCAGGAGTTATCAATGGCCAACAGTCAAAGGTACGAGGAGATGGTTTGTTCATTTGGCCAGCTTGCCTGACAGCCAACTCGGAGGCACAACAGGGAGCCCGTGTCTAGAAAGAGTCTGGATGCCCCGGAAATTGCTTCAGGTAACAAGGCAACTCGCCGCCTACAAGGAAAGCTCACCCCTCCCCCCCTATCAATGGGTTCGTAGCCTAATAATGCCCACAGTCTCAGGGCCGGACACGGCAAGGCGCAATAAATTTCCATTCACTAAAGACGGTAAAGTGGAAAATGTTCGTTGGGCTGAGAGTTTTATTTTCTTGCCGGCATTCATCAAGGGCACTATTAGACATCCCGTGAGTGAAGTGCGCGGATTTGAAGAGGCAATTAGTGTTTGGGTGCAGGCTGCAAGTAAAGAAAACACACGCACGCATTTCTCACCAACCTGTCATTACGTCGACAAGCTCCCTGCGCTCGGTAGGGGTGATACGAATAAATATTTATACATCCGTATTACAGCGGTGCATTCACTCACTTCTCATTACTTTGCCAATCAACGTGGCCGGAAACCGAGCGATGTGGAAATGCTTATTTGTGAATGGGCAGCGAAAGGGTCCTGCTTGCCCACCGCGGCGTTTACGATTGTAATCATGGGAGGGCATTACACACTAAGTGGACAATTTGGATGCATTTGATTTCAATTTTGAACGGGGAATTCACGCTTAATACTGTGCAATGTGCGGTTTCCTTTTTACAGAAACGTGTCCCTGCTAAAAGCAACGAAGAAGTGCTCATTTCTCTGTGCCTCTCGGTAATGATGAGAAGTGTGCATCCATTAAAATACTGTGCGCATCGTTTGGGCTAGATGCTTCAAGCATCGATGGACAAATTGCAACATTGTCCATTGGCATGTAGCGTTCCTAAATAGGCGAGATTCCCAGTAAAAAACAATTGGTATTCAATTGTGAAAAAAAATGTCCTTAATCACAACTCAAGAAACGCAACAAATATACTCGGCATTTAATGCCAGGATGTGTTTTATTTCACGAGTAGGGAATCTGTTGTGTTGCTCAGGAAAACAATTTAATAAAAAGGTGTCAGTTTGACACTCTTCTCACGTAAATTAAGCAATCATTAGAAAGATGTCATCAACCAAGTCAAACTTTAGCTGCCTTATAATTTTACAGCCATACCCATCTCTTCCAGCCTGATACACCACCATCACTCGCCGTGCAGCCACTGCACTCATGCACAAACTCCCCTCCCCTGACATCACAAAAGAATACAGATGGTTCTCTATCGGCTTAACTCATGCTAATCCCGTGCACCACCGTCCACACGGCCTGCCACATGCTTCCCCCCCACTAACACCCTATATAAACACGTTGTCTCTTAATAACTCTCTTCATACGCCTCAGTAATTTTGCTGGAGCAGTCAACACCTGATGACGGTTGCTTGTGTTGCTTCTGCAACGTCGTGATTTAATTGATCTGTTTTCATTTTAATTTATTTTATATTTTTTACCTACGTGACTTTACCGAAAAAAACAAAGAGTACTCTCACAGTCCTGTACTTGGAGCACGAGAAGTAATCCGCTTCTTGACGCAATATAATTCGTCGTAGCACTTTGTAGGAAACCAACAGAGGTTGTGGCTGTGGTGAGACCGGCCCCACCATTGGAATGTGGAATTCACACCACTGGCTCAGGGCTGCCAACAGAGCAGAGTACCACGCAATGGTGAGCACCGCCCCTTCAATAATAAAGACACTGTGAGCTTGGCTGACAGTGACTGCACATGATGCCTGCTGGAACCTATATAATGTATAACCATGGGGGGGGGGGGGGTGATTGTTCAATTATTGGTTAAGTCACCAGGGGCTTCTTGTGCACTTACATGTGCAGGTCTGAAGTAGAATAGAGTGACAATCAAGGAGATCGCATTCAAGTTGAGAGACAACAATGAGGCTGGCGTTCAGCCCTGTTGGGCATTCACACTCCCTCCAACCGCCGATTCTTGTGGCACGGGGCGCTGTTCTACATAAACTGAACGAGCCCCCCCTTCTTGGTCCTCCTGTTGCCGTTTGTCCAACTCTCACAGACGCATCCACAATGACATGCAGCCACGCTCTGGCAAGCCACACAAGGT